TTGGAAAAAAAATTTCAGAAAATATTATATTTTGGATACTAATTTTCCTTTTTCCTACAGGTTCATATTTAAATATAATACCTAATGGTCTGAGCTAGGTCACACTTAAAAGAGTATCTCTAGTCCGTTATCATCCAAATCTGAGGAAATATTCTACTAGAACATAAAATGGAAAGGGAAAAAAAATGTATATCCTTATTATTTCATATCCATTATCATTCCAGCATAAACCTCAATCCTATACATTCTTAGGTTGCAACCTGAAAAACTAACTTCTGGATTCTCAGTCTCTAGTTTCATCTGATTGTGACTTATTTCACTACAAATAACAGAACAGGATAACATTATTCTAGATTCATAACCGATCACAAACGTGAGGACAACATTAGTGGATCCATGATGAATCTAGTATCCCCTCCTTTTTCTTGAACGAGTGAAAAAAGTCAATAAAACCTTTGTTGCAAACTCCCGAAATCATGTATAGTTCTCTCTCTTTATATGTATGATTTCCGAACTAAATTAGTGATTCACCACAATTTTAATTTCCCTTGGCTTGATCAAATAGAAGGGTACAAAGTGATTAATAATTAAATGGAAATGTTAAACTACGACAATTGAGAGATTAAGGGAATATAAATTATTTTGATTTGATATAAACACATGCGCCCATGTGCTCTAGAGTCTTGTATTAATGATGTTATTCTCACAAATTGCGTTGGCTTTTGTAGTCTTGCCCACCTCTTTCATGGGAAGGTCAAAATGGATCAGAATCTCAAAGTCTCCCACATGTGAGTGACACATGTTCGGTTTTCTTATTATTGTTACAGATTAATCTATGAACAAAAGATGTTACTTTTGGGTTGAAATCCTAATCAAGGATTAATTTAGTGTCAACTTAAATGTTACGTTGCTCATTAATATTGTTCTTGCACAATTTTTAAGTTTTCCAAGAATCAAGATAAATAAGTTGCACCTCTATACGTAATGTTTAAGTAAGTATTAGTGAGCCTTACGTACCTTTAGCAGCATATATCTCTACGATAAGTAAGTTACATCTCTATACGTAATGTCTAAGTATATATATTAGTGAACTTTACCTTTAATAGCATATATCTCTAAGCTTAGCACATCTCTATTCGTAATGTTAATATCAGTGAGCTTTACCTTTTAATAGCATATATCTCTAAGCTTAGCACGAGATATTGACCCTCCAAACAAGTTGTCTAGCATAAAGTTTTGACAAATAATTACATGTGATAAAAAGCAGAAAAAAGGGTTTCCATCTTTTATCTAAAGAGTTCAATAGGTCAGACTTTGCACTATACTTTTGTACAATGAATATTGGGGTCGGGGTCGGGGTCGGGGTCGCTCAAAGTCAAAATTAATATAAATTAAAATTAAGTGGTTAAGACTTAAAGAGTATTAATGTAATAAGCTGTTCATCCAAGTTTTTACATTGCATTGGTCAACTCTAGCTGGCCAAAAAAAAAAAAGAAACAAAGAAAATACTAAAGTCGCGCGAGTTACCATCAACTCTCGTTACTTTTGCAAGAAATATCAGTACAAATTTTATTATTACTAACGAGTGAAGGCGCTGTAAACTTTTCTGTTTATAGAGGGAACATATAAACGTTACTGACAGTTAAAAGTAAAAAAAAGTAAGCTCTTTACATTTAACTTTAAAACCATAGTTTTCAAGTGCACGTAACCATCATTCAGGGACTTGCACACGCCTTGAATACATCCTAAAGTATACAAGAAAAAGAAGAACAATTAATAGACATAAATACAAAAGCAAAAACAATATTTAAAGTCATTTCTTAAAGGATGCAGTCTCCTTTTTCTTTCTCTCAAACTACAAAATAAAGCATGTGTCACTAGGAAAAGATAAATACAAAAAGAAGGATACCTCTCCGAAAAAGGAGTATAAATAGTAAAGAAAATATATGTATCGTAAGTGGTAAACATAGTAAGAGGGAATCAAGGTTCTCTTTACGGGTTGGTGTCCAAAAAGCTCATGAAATGCGTGCCTTGATTGATGATTTCCCCCCTACAGAGCTCAGGAAAATTTGCATGAAGAGGCGAAAGAAAAAGCTCATATTTTCTCTCCTTTTCTCAAAAGTGCCCATGAGCTACATATTAATACGCATATAAATATCATAAAGCGAAGCTTTACAAAAGCATGTATAATATCATCTGCAAAGAAAAAAACCAAGTAGATTTTTTGTACAAGATACAACGACAAGAGAACTTTCCAAGTAGATTTAGACAGGGTCGACGCGGATGTTCGTTAGGCTCTCGTTATCTTTTAGTTATACTAAGCTTCGTTGTTTTGCTTATATATAACAAAAGAAAGGCTAATATTAAGGCTGTAAGCCCAATCCTAGACTACCCTTGGATCCTTTTTAACTTTGATAAAGATGCTTTTGTGTGCCGATTCCCAAGCTTCACTTCAAACCTCTCGTTGAGTTGGAGCTTGTAAAGCTTCCTACTTGGCTTATTTTATTATCCCTAACTTGAACAAAATATATAATAGAGTTTAGAAATAAGCCTGCAAATATTATAGTGCAAATGACGAGGACAAACTAGTACTCACTTTTTCTTCGGCCGCGGGTCAAGCTACAAAGACTAAGGTGAGGCAATCAAAGATGCCAGGGTGAAATCTTATTTTCAATTAAACAATTCTTGCCGATGGATTGTTGAAAAGTTTAATCCGGCATTTGTATTTTATTGTTGATGAGTTGATTATAGCTGGAGAAGAATAATTCGTTTGCTATTGTCAAACTAATACTCGTTCTTTAATCTAATGAGCTCCAAAAATAAGAGTTACAGAAATGAGCTCTCCGTTATGCAACTGATGAAGTCAAACTAATGCTCACTTTCTCTCAGGATGTGGGTCAAGCTACGAAGACTCCAGTGAAGGGCTGTGACGCAATCAAGACTCAAGTCTAAAAAATTATTTTCAATTAAACAATTCTTGCGGATGGATTGTTGAAAGCTTTAATTTGGCTAATCCTAAACTAATTACAATGATTGACTATGGCAGAAATGAGGAAATTATGCCGGTGACGACTCAAGGGTAGAATCCAAAAATCTATCTCTAGTACTTAGATTGTATTAAAGATAACAGTCTTTTTTTCACTAAATTTTGAAACAGGTCTAGATTCAACCTCTATGTGCTATGCTGAACTAAAAAGAGTCCACAGGTTGCCTGCTGAATATTACATTTTCAACCACAACATTCTTGCTGCTATCAGATAAACATAAACAAAGCGCGACGAACCAACCGATCATGGATTAGTTGTCACCGTTATTATAGATTAACAATAAGCAATTGACCTCGTCACAGTGGTAATAACATGAGGTATACCGCATGAGTTAATAGTGCTAATCAAAACCGGCACATCAAACGGAGCATTTAGAGGTATATTAATCTGTATCACCCGTTACAGCATCTTCTAATATAAACTCCACAAATGTGACACCCAAAGGGCTAAACCAACACCTAAAAAGAATTACAATGTTAGTGATGACTGCATTTGCATGATACAAAAAAAAATGAAACAAATCAATTGCCAGCTATCTATGTTGTTTGATTAATGCAACCGCCTGCAAAATAGAAAGTGCATTTTTCATGTGTAAAGTGTTTTTGAGACGAGTCTCTTTTCAGTCTTTAGCTGCTTAGTCTTTCAAGTGGTTTCACCTTTCGCCTGTGGCCCATACTATTCACAAGATCCTTACGGATACATACTGGAAACATATGTACTGCTGGTAAATTTAGTCTTCTGAGAACGTAAGGAAAGCTGAGCTGATCTCGTGAAGTGAATCGAACCACTTCATTGAACCATACACACATCAGGAGATTTGTTGATGGTGTATGCTCCCTTACAATGATAGATGCTTCTGACAGAGCTGCATATAGAAGTAATTCATACTAATACATCAGTTTTGTATACTAAAATATCAGAAACTAGATATGGCAGAGAAAAATAAGACACTCAATCATTCAAATAGTTGCTCAGATCTATACCATTTGTATTATGGCCTATTTCAAAAAATATGACAGGTTAGGTGGTACATAGAAAAGTAATTTATACTAATACATCACTTCTGTATTCTAAAGATTAGATACAAGACAAAAGTTGTAGAGAAAAAAATAAGATTCTCAATCAAATAATGCCAAATAATTTTAAATCAATTACGCATGCAGGATCCAATAGGTGCTCAGATCTATACTATATTTGCATTTTGTCCAATTCAAGAAGATGACAACACCATTCATGCCAAGTTGACAACAGACCAAACTACCGTTGAAGTTTAATAATTATGGGGAAGACATTAGCATAACTATATTAAGTAATATTTGATTTGCTTTCTTGAGGCTTATTCGCAAACACTCCATTCAAAAAAGGAAAAGTCGCAAAATTGTTTTTCAATAGATAAAAAAGTTTAGTCTATTATGTTGTCAAATCCATTCTATTTAATTTCCTCATATTTTCAAGTTTCAAAAGATACAAGATATCTGTAAGTATTGAAAATTTCAGCATAAACAGCTGAAGCTGAACCAGTGATGACTGAAAGACCCGAAAACCTTCAATTTGGAATCAACCTTACATAAACTATAGGCTAAGAGTCGACAACCTAAAACTTTAATCAAATACTACAGTCTCAACGACAACAGAAGACAAACTGGAAGATTCAGATATAGACAGCAGTAGCTTTCCAATAAGCATACCTTTCTTTCCGTTGAATCTTTTATCATCAGGCATGCCATCTCGTCGATACTGATTTAACTGCACTTCCACTTCCTCAGGAGTCGCCTTGTTCTTTTTAACAACAGCTTTTGCTTCATCATACAGGCTACTGCGAGCTCCATGTTCAGAAATGGCTAGGGTGGAGTTTGAGCGCCAAAGAAGTGCCTCCAGCACACCAAGTGGGTCTCTTCTAAATTGAGATTTTGAGTCCACCCAGATTGAATACCTTGCTTGAGGAAAGAGTCGATGGCTCAACATCTGACGTGATTTTAAATGCAACCATGTAAACTGACAAGCCATAGTCCAACAAACCATGTAAACTGACAACGTATGAAGAAAACCAACTTTCTATATTTTGGAAAAATGGTTTGACCAACTTTCTATATTTTGGAAAAATGGTTTGACCAACTTTCTATATTTTGGAAAAATGGTTTGATGGACGAATAAAGAAGAAGATACCCGTAGTTCGCAAGGGAGGTAACTCAGGTAAGGATTCATTTGATACACTAGTTTGCTAAACCATAAATATGATGTGTTAGGGATACTATCAATCATCTTTTGTAGTAACTTGCTACTGAAATCAGCATCAGCAACACAATGCACATGAAAAGATCAAAAATCTGGTCTGCATCTTGTATTGTCTGAATGCAATTTTAGGTGCAGTTAATTGAAACATGGGAAGATTGAATTTGTGAACAGTAAATCAACCCCAATGGCAGCAATTACTACAAGTTACATAACCAAGGCAATTTAAACATTTCGTGATGCATAATCCTTTAAAAAAATTTACTAGCATCTTATTAAGCTTTTGATAATGACTAGTGCCAAAATCAAATGTTTCATATTCAAAATGATTGTACTTACCAAAATTCTAAACTCCATTAAGAAATAGGAAGTGCGCTGCAATTTTTAAAAGATTGGATCAAGATAGGGTACCACTCAAGAGTCGTACATATTTTTGTACCTTGGGGACTTTTCCATTTAAGCGTTGATCTGAAAAAGGAAGATCCTTGACAACAACAATACGCCATTTGCCAATTTTATGCTCCTCATTAATTTTTATTCCTTCTGCTTCCTGTGCAGAACGAGTAATTTCATCCCAAAATGCCACATAGCAAACCTGCAAACATGACAAACAACTACAAATATAAAAAGGCAAATAAGAGTGCGAACTCTACAAGCATGACCATCAATTGCTGTGAAATAACCTTTTGTAGTGATGCTTCAGTCATCCCGATTGGCTGGTAGAGATCATCCCCACCACCAAAAGCACATGTGGATACAACAGCCTTGCAAGTTTGCATGTAACTTTTGTCATCATCAGAAATTTTAAAACCTCCATGTTCACTGTAGAATCCACAATGCACCATAGCAGTTTCATTTGCCTGGAATTAATCATATATGTGCATGACCATTATGCTAGAATTATGTAAAGACGCAATCAGTGAGAGAGAAACTCCATCAGAAGTCAATATTAGTCACACAAAGTGCAATTTCAGGGGGAAAATTGAAGGACTGAACAAAAGTATGGAAAAATGATCCAACAGGAAGGTAATTGACAAAAAATACAAAGTTTAATAAAACGGTTGGGTGCAGAGTTACCTTGAAACTTTCTTCTCTCTCTTGAAGGGTTTGAACTCCCGTGAACAGATTAAATCTTGTAGCTTCCGCACTCTGTTTTGACAATGTGATATTGTCTCCCCTATGATTATCTGAATCTGACTTATACACCACCTTCTTGATGGGAGATTTGGGTTCTGAACTAATGGGGAACTCCAGATTCTCTATTTCTTCAGGGCTAAGTAACTTTAAACAAGCTGGCCAAATAGATTAACAAAACTAAATGATAACTGAACTAATTTAGAGTTTAATCAAGTATTAGACTTCTTTGAATTGAAGCAGTAAGAAGAAAGTGAAGCGGACAACATAAAAGGATGTAAAATTTAAGAATTCAAATAAATGGTTCTGAAAAATCATGCAATTGCAAGTTTACAACAAATATGGATGTGATACCCACCCTTCGGTGTTTGGACTCAATTCGCCAAACTGTTCAAAAAGGTATTAGACCTATTGCTCACTGGCTAAAATGAACATGAGTAATAGGAATTTTTGGAGAACAATCAAGTCCCAACTCCCAAGGTAAGATAATTCTCAACATACAAGCATAGAAGATTTCACAGAATGCCTCACTGCTCCGGCGTTCAAAGGATTCTCCAAGAACAAATGAACCACTTTTCTCCACAAAATTCCATCTAAGACATTATCTCATGTCTGCAGAACCACTGTATCAGCATAACCAACATGTCTATAGCGCTTCACAACTTTCTGTCAGGGCATGTTTGGATTTCTTGGGGGTGAGGGAAGTTAAAGAGAAACTACGGGAGACAAGAAAAGGGAACGTAAGAGAATTCCTTTTACCCTATAGGTTACACCCCAATTTAGAGCGGAACAAATTTTGTATTGTTGGGAGCTGAACTTAGGGAAACTAGAGGCAAATCTCCACCCTCTAAAGGATTCCCAAACGAGGTGAACTAGGGAGCACTGTTTCCCTAACTTCCCTTCTCCCCTATTCCCTCAGTCCAAACACACCTTGAGTCCCCATCTCTTCCTTAAATCTCGTTAAAACCCAATAACCACTCACAACCTACTATTGTCGATCACTAAGTATATATTTGTGTAGGCTGTCTAAAAATTACTACAGATAGATGATCCCCATCAAACACCGATGATGAAAGTTACAATTTGACAGCTTCTAGAAAGCTATAATTTAAAAACTTTCACGTAGATCGATGAAGGTTACAATCTGATGACATTCACAACAACCTAATTCAATATCATTTACAATCAACATCAGAAGTTACAATCTAATGGCTCTTATATTTTTAAGGAGCCAAGACGAATGTTACAAGATGATGATCTTTGCAACACTCTAGCAAAAGAGACTACAAATTGATGGTCTCTTCACATCAAAACGCAGATATCTCTCAAACCGTAAGGAATTTGACAAAACGGACGGGAGCAAACCAAACCCTTTGGGTCGGTTTGGTCGGTTCCGTCTCATCGAGATAGTTGATTTTCATATATAATTCGTCCAATTCCGACTTACGGTTTGAAAGTTATGACATGTTCTTCGCAGTAAGTCATGTTCTGAAGTCCCTCTGCAAGACGAGACTTCGTCTAAACATTGGACTTTGCCTGAAGCTCGTCAAGCTCGTCTGAGGCTCGCCTCTGCGTTCCAGAGTCGAAACAATGCAACCACTGTGTTCTCATCAACAAAACACAACTTTTTTCAACCGCTAACGCAGCATAAACGCAGCGTTCTTAAGTCACAGACGCAGTTCAGATTCAGCCACGGACGCAGCTCGAATCCAGCTGCTAACGCAGCTTCCAAACGCTGCGTTCGAACACCACTAACGCAGCACAAACGCAGCTTCCAGGCACTGCGTTCATAGCCGCTGATGCAGCTCAAATCCAGCCGCTAACGCAGCTTCCAGACCATGTGTTCGAACGAAGGTTCACACCCAGAACGCAAATCATTGCGTTTGACTCATTCAAACGGTTCCAAAAACCGTTTTTCACCCATAATCTGGGGAGTGATTTAAGGGGCTGTTACACCTGATTAATGGGGCAATTAAGCCCCCATTAAGGAGTGGATTAAGGGCGGTTACACACCAAAATCCCTTATAAATAGCTGAAAATTCAACTTAGTTCGGGGCTGCTTCGAATCCTCTTTTCGGCAGCAAAGAGATCTTTTGGAGCAGATCAAATCTTTGGATCTTCACATCAATCTTTTGGAGCTTTGGAGATCGGCAACTTAGAGGAACTCTTGGATCATCTTAGAAGGCTTTGATTGGAGCCTTTGAGATTATTCGGCTTGGCTTTTGAACTTTTTCTAAAAGTTCTTCTAAACTCGTTCAGAGTTCTAAAACTTACTTTGCAAGTTCGTTTAAGACTTCGAGTCAAGAGGCGAAGATAACGTTCCACGAGGTGAAGCGTTCGGATCGTTAACGGAAAGCAAACTTCACGCAAGCATTTGAGTGAGGCATTCCATCGAAACCAAGAAGAATCCGGTTTTAAACAAAGGGAAGGATCTCTGTCGATCACTTTTCTCTTTTGTAAATCGAGAATCCGATTCAAGAAGATTTGAAATTTCTTTTTCTAAGTTTGTTAGAGAGAGATTACATTGAGAGAATTGTAATTAATTCTTTTTTCTAAGTCTGTTAGAGAGAATAACACAAATTGGATTCTCCATTTTCTTCTTGCAATTTTCCCACCTAAACAATTTGGTTTCTTTTTAGTATTCTAAGAAGTTTGTGGTTGATGTTTTTGCTTTTTCATTGTATGCTCTGTCTGTTCTTTTACTTTTTTACTTCTTCCCTCTGCTTCTCCTATCTTCTATGTCCTTGTTCTTTTCTTATATTTGTTATGTCGATGGACATAGTGCAACTATCTCATCTAGTTTTTTCATCTAAAGACCACACAACTTGCATATACACATAAATTCAAGCCAAAGATAATCTTCACAATTATTTTCAATAGGGAGAATTGGACAACTTATGCGTTCTCCTGGGAATGCGGTCTCCTGGGAAAACATATAGCTTGTATAATGACAATGTGCAATACTTGCTTCATTTTTTTTCCTCCCATTCAGCATAAAGAGTATATCCTTTTCCATGATCTATGTCCATGGTTCAAGAATTTACTCATATGGGAGTTATAACAACTACAGAATCACAAGGAATAAAAGTTCTGATTTTGTGGGACTTTATGGCCCACACCGTTCATAAATTCTTTATCATCGTCGTCATCATCATCTAAGCCCATCATATACCAAAATGAAAATTTTTATGACAATTAAGTACAACCGCATGAAAAATGGACAAGATTGATAACATATTGAGTAGTGGATGTTAAGCTCGAACACAAGGAAACTATTATATAGAGAAATAGCCCAATAAGTTAATAAAAAGTGCAGAGGAAAGAGGGGTTTTGGGGTGAGTTGGAGAGTGAATAGCCTAAACACCATGCTAGAGAACTACACAAAGAAGTGGCAAACACTTCTACAACAATTAACAGCGTTAAATTCCCATGGTTTCAATATTTATGGTGTCCTTTCTTCATTAGAAAGATTAAATTTGGATAATCATGTGATTTTGGAAAACTATGTAAAAGAAACTTTGGGCACATTTCTAAGACAAAGAATATCGGTGTAATGAAAAAGTTGAGAAAAATATCACTTCTACTAGCTCAGCATTAAAATGAAAAACAAAATCAAAGAAATCAAAACAACTTACGCTGCCTCACTCCGCCAATAACTCTTGTCACCGGATCGAGTCGGTTCAGGTTCGCCGGAACCTCCTTAACGGGTTCCGTACTAACTTTTGCCTGCTTAACGGGTTCAGGATCCGAAAACTTGCCCTCTTCTTGGGGTTTTACAGCGAGCTTTGAGATCTCGAAGAGAAGCAAAGCGATCGCTGGAAGAAAGAGAAGGACCGGCCACCACCGCCTCGAAACCCTAAAGATCCGACGAATGAGGTTGTTCTTGCCTCGAAACCCTAGCTTCTTGCGTTTTCGACGAACTCGGGCCCTCAATTTCCCGGCGAGCTCATCGGACTCTTCGTCCGAGATGGAGATCGAGATGTTGTTCATTAATGACGACGAGAGATAGAGAGAAAAATCGAATTAGGGTTTTTTCCTTCGAGAAATATCGCGGGAATTGGGACTTCAGTGTCGAAGCCCGCAGAGACCGAAGGATACGGAAAGAGGCAAGAACAGGCCAATGCTCTGTATATTGCAGAGGAAGAAATTTTCACCGTAGACCCATTCCTATATTTAATCCTTAAAACCGACCTATTTTAAAATTATTTATAAGAATCGGCTCACTTTGAGTTAATTACGGTACTAATTAGTAGGGGTTGCCAACCCTGACTAATCAGTAGCCTACTAATTAGTAGCCTAATTAGCAGCCGCAAACCTTCCTTGCTCCCTGACCCTGTTTGTAATTAGGTTACTAATTAGTCGAGGTTAGCAACCTCGACTGATTAATACCGTAATTAACTCAATGTGGGTCGATTCTCATAAATAAATTTAAAGTGGGTCGGTTTTAGGGATTAAATCTGGGATTGGGTCTACAGTGAAAATTTCTTCTATTGTAGAGTCATCGACCAATTTTAAGCTGCTTGAAAATTAAGGTGTTTCATTAATGAATTTAATTAATGATTATGAAGTTGTAAAACCCAACTTATCCAAGTTTTTCATGTAACTTTCTTTTGCAGTACAAGCTCCACTTAGAACCCTTCTGTTTGGCATAGATACAGAACAAAATCCCCACCTTACATCTTTCACGTAGTTGAGTCCGCGTATAATTCCACGAGTTGAGGCACATTGAAATTTAAAAATAGCTAGATTAAGAAAATGATGGAGTATATCATTTAATTCTACTTATTTGATTCTTTTTTCCTAATCACTATTTTTTAGTTATATTATGGTTATCCAATAATGACATCCAATATGCAATGTCATTCTCTCTAACCACTAACATATTCTTTTGTGTTTTCTTTTTCATGAAAATCACCTTTAAAATATCATCTTTCTATGGAAACCACATTTCATTGTCAATTTATACACATATTAATTTTAAAAGATTTTTTTATTGTAATCAACCACTCCCACGTTTCAATTAAGTATTTTCGGTATTTGACTCATCTATCTTTTTTTGAGAAAAATGTGTCAATGCCCCAATAATAATAAGCCCATGTGACAAGGCCCTATGTATTTTGGGTGTTGTGTTTCAGCCCCGAATACATGATGTATTTGTGTCAAGGCCCCAATATGATTGTCATGTGAGCAATTAGAGAAAAAGCTCATTTGAACTTACAAACCCACCCTCGTCGTGAAGTGACCGAACTTGGTAACCGTGACCATCCCTAACTCAAGTACCTACTATTCAGGAACCATCGAAAATTCCCAAACTCCATTTCTCTCATCTCGCATTTCAACTTAGGGTTAGAGTTTTCGTCGTGAATATGTCGTGGAAGTATCTGCTCAAGATTTTGAAGTTGTTCATCGCGGTGGACAGCAGGAGCAGGTTGTCAGCGGCCGTGAAAGACGGTCGAAACAAAAAAAATGAAGCCAAATCTTCATCCTTGGTCGCACTTCGTGAGCGAAGTGGTGATCACATGGCTTCGTCGAGTGATGATGGTCGTGCCTTTTCTAGCGACGGTGAATATAATCAATCATCTGGGAATGGAAGCACGGAGGAAGCATCAAAGACCCTTTTGGTCATGCAAAGGGGTGAAGTACGTGGTCGAGGCAATAAAAAAAGTTCAACAGGGGATGGTTCCAACCCCATAAAGAAGTAAGTGTTAGGTTTTTTTAATTAAAGAACTTAACCTGAGTTTAATCAAATACATAATACGTTATTGAAATAACTAATAATTGATTTCCATGTTATCTAAACTGAGGTTCATGTTAATTCTAATCCTATACATGAGAATTAACCTAAGTTTCATGTTATAAGAACTGAATTTCATAATAACTGAACTGATTTTCATGTTATCTAAACTGAGGTTCATGTTAATTCTAATGCTATACATGAGAATTAACTTGAGTTTAATCAAATACATGTTAACTAAACAAAGTGTTATGTTAACTAAACTGAGTTTCAAGTTAAATCATCTGAGTTTCAAGTTAAATGTACATTTGAATTTCTTTTTAGAAAAATTATTGGTGATCCTGCAGAAATCAGGTCAACTGCCAATATTTGATCATATTGTGAATTTATGAAACATATTGCCTCAGTCTTTACATGTTGACGTCGACGTCGGCGGACCACAATCTTTACATTTTGAGTTCAAAATGTTGGCAATGCTGCAAATGTTTAGAAAATATCAGAACACGAGATCAACAACAAATAATAAAAACTAAACAGTTAATGAAAACTAAACAAGACTTAACATCAAACCATTTGAGTTAACAAGTGAGACTTAACACTGAATAGATTAGACTTAACAGCCTTCCTATTAGACTTAACATTGAGCTTATTAGACTTAACATTATTTTTATTATAACATTATTTTTATTATAATTAACATTCTTTTCAATAGGCTAAAACATCTTTGAATTAGGCCTAACATTCAGCTCTATAGATATAACATTCAACCAGATAGAATTAACAACACACTAATTAGATCTAAGATACAACGCTTTTAGACTTTACATGTAATGACTTGCAGTTAACATACTACAAGTTAGACTTAAGATACAAAGCTTTGGACTTAACATGTTACGACTTGCAGTTAACATACTAGAAATTAGACGTAACATATAATATGTTACACTTAACATTCTACATTTAGACTTATTATTCCACCCAAATAACTTAACATAAAATGTTCTTGAACTTATCTTCCAATTCATTAGACTAAACATCATAAATATTGAACTTAACATCAAAAAACCTGATAACTTACAACAGGTGTTGTGGATCTTGCTGGTTGTTATGGAAAATCAAATCCTCTGTTCTTAGGAAAGTTTTCATGTGAATCTCTTTACACCCAGTATTACGGCTATGCTCCACCATAGACGATAAATCATCTTCGATCTTAATAGGAAAATTAAAGTTGTCGTTTATTTCATCTTTGTATGCCAACGATAAACAATCGTATGGAAGTTTTAACCTCTCTGACACATCAAATTTCAGTTCTATTATGGTGGTTGAAGAGTTAATCTTTAAGAAAATTACTTTATCACTTGAGACTGTGTAGATGATATCTTTCTCAGCCATTAATGAAGGGAAGGTAGAAGGAGCAGTGAAGAGAATTTTAGGACAACAGGAGTATTGAAGAGCAAAAACCCTAAACAATTACATAGATATTTATTGCTCGTGATAGAGAAAAATGGGGGGAAGTTTCCCTCCAATTCCTTCATCAGATCGCCATTAATGAGATCTGACGCCCGCACATAGATTTTATTGATGGGGGCGCTAAGTCTGAGGAAGGAGAAGGACATTTTAGGGTTTATTTGGAAATACAGTACTTGCCCTCTATACGGCTGATGTGGAGTGGCCCGGATACATTAGATAGCTTTTTTTGGGTCTGGTCCATAATGAAAAAAGGTGAAAGGGTCAGGTCACATGCTACTCTTTAAATTGAGGCCTTGACACAATTTTCCCCTTTTTTTAATAGCTACATTGAGATTGCACTTCCATATGATCAGAATCAAACTGTATGGTATCCATCTAATATACTTAATATTTAACAACTAATTATTATAGTAAAACTGAAAAAAAAAATTGACCCAAAAGTAAGCCCAGGTAGTTAATTGTAACAAAAAACCGTTTAAAGTTGATTTATATATAAATTGATAATCAAATGTGGTTTCTACATAATAATCCTATTTTAACGGTGGTTTCAATCCTATTCTATTTACTCTTCTCTTGCTCTTTCTCTCTATGATGACTTTTTGGTTGTCAATATTTTTGGATTCATGGAGTTCTTAATTTGGCTTAATTATCTTGATAAGCGCCTTTTAAGTTTTAAAGTTGATTTCACCATGTAGTTTTCTTTTTCTACAATATGACAGCATCAACAAATTTTTAGTTATGGTTCTTTCTGGAGGAAATAAAAATAAAAAGAATACCCAAGACACCTGATCAATACAACAGTAGTACATGAATCTTTGACAACCCACAAGCATTACGGTCAGCGAATTTGATCAAGTATTCATTGCCATTAATATATCATCAATTAGGAGAGTGACCCAAAAAGAATGCACCAGTCCAAAGAATGCACCATTAAGTCATTAACCAGTATCATCTCTAATGTAAATTAACCATTCAAACAATAAACTCCAATGGGGAAGAGGATAATAGATGAAGTTTCTCCGATTAATGCATACTAGATCAATAAGTAGAACGTAAATTCACAAGAAAAATTTTATAAAATCTCTATAAGATTCCACTCCTTTATGCATTGATACTTCAAAAGCGCAGAGCAGATATAATATATACAAAGAGATGGAACTAGCATTACTCGCTATCAACAATAAGAAAGAAACAGGACATTCTCTGTTAATGATTTATTAGCATACTTGTAATATTTCTACTTTCTATTTGTAATATTACTTTTATATATAGCTAGCGTCCTACTTGGACCCAGAAAAAAAAGGATTAAAAAAAAAAACAAAATTGATGAGCTTCGATATCCCCGCAGTATGCATCTCCCAGTTCCCGTATGGACTGTACAGGAGTGGAGCTACCGGCTACTGGTAAGATGTTGACATAATATATTCATGTCCTACCTGGGTCATTAAGGGGAAAAAACATCAGGAAAAAAACCCTGAAAATGAATATAAAGCAATAAAATGATTCTATAATTGGGGGATTTTGATATATCTCGGTATTTCAACTCAGAGAGCTGTGTCATGTTTCGATCACCTCACTTGCGTTTTGAGCATTAAGTGAAGGGCATCTCCTGAATATTTTGTAAAGAGCACTGTAGAAATTGTCATACTTCTCTCCCCTACTTATCTCTGTAAAAAACAAGAAAAAAGAATACCGGTTAATATGAAGGAAAACTAACAGAAGAAAGAAATGATACATGATTGAAACAAAGCCAGTATCAGTTACATTAAGAGCTGACATGCTTTCCTTGTTCAGCACAATGATCCAAATATATAGAAAGTTCTGGTGCTCTTTCTACACCATTGGATTTGTAGGGAGCAATTTGGTGTGTTGCATTCCCAAGAGGTTCCAATAAATCATGCTCTATGCATTTGTACCTGAAAACATAGCAAAACTGTGATTTAGTTAAATAAAATCAATTTGGTAAAACTACTTACCAAACATAAACTTACATTTGCAGGCAGAGGAAGTCCACAATTCTTGACAAATCAAGAACGTTCATTTTTATCTCGTCAATTTTTGCATCCGTAAGAAATTGGAAGTCCTTCTCAAGATTCATAGAAAGTCTTTCTACATTGCCTTCTAATTGCTGCTGCTGGTCTTCAAACAGATTCTTTTTCATTTCCCTTTCTTTATTTGATAACTCGCCTTGGAAGAGTTCATCCCCAAACATATAATATGCAAAAGGGTATGTGTATGTAAGAACACGCCTTGATCGAAAGAGACGACTCATTCCATTTAGCGCCCAACTATAATCTTTGATTTCTGATTCCTTATTTTCTGACATGGATATTTTTTCCAGCAGAGTGTTCCTCTGCTTGCTTTCTTGGTTGAGGGAATCAGTGTGAGCTTTGTATCGATCATGATAATGCACAAACCTGTAGTGGTTCTTTTTTGTGTGTTCTTTCTTCTTTGTATTATCATTTTTGTAGCGGTTACAGCTGTGGCCAGTAATAGATGTCCAAGTATGTTCTCTCCCAGTAGCGCCGCCACATAACCAGCTGCATGGAAATATGCAAAATAATATTAAGTCAGATGATGCAAAGACAATTTTCTTTGCAATTGAGGAAGGTCAATTTGATGAGTATATCAACAATCTGACTCCAATATAAACTGTCTACCACACTATTTTCTGGTAAATAAATGTAATACCCATGCATGAACTACACTCGCCATAAGTTAGGAATCAGGTATGAGTTGGTAGGCTTACGCGTTACACTAGGGTACGTGGTACACTTACAGGTTCGGTTCTTAATTGAAGGAATTAAAGGTTTTGCAAGTCAAATTTAAGAAATATACTAGTAGACATCAATAATGGTAAAAGAACCTTGAGAATCATGTTGCAATAAGTTATGCAAACTTTATTTGCTTGCATTTTTTGTTGTTTATTCTTATAAAAAGAGTTATTTTTATAAAATTTTAACTGATTTGAATTTCAAATCAGATCACTGGAGTTGGTGAATGGCATGTTCCACACGAATTTGGGACAATTGAACCCGGGTTGTGGTTCGCTATAGCGTCCCAAGTTCCCGACTTCTATGATGCATACACATGTTAAAGATATATATGTAACATGGGACTGATAGTTTTATCTGTATCACAATTTAATTTCACTTTTCCATCATCTCATACCATGAATTGTGGCAGATAATTACGAGAATAGGAGTGAGTACAGATTTTAAAATACTACCCATAATAGATAAAAATTTCTCACTGCAGAGTGGCAGATGGAGTTTTTCAATATAACAAGATATGAATGCCCTCTAAAGCACTGTACCACAAAAGCAGCCCCATGAGTCAATTACGTTAAGTTCAACTCCAATCAAGAGGCATAAATGATTCATATCCGTGACACTTTTTTTGAAATACTATCCCCATTTTGAAAGGGGAATAACTAAAAGAAAGATGAAGCTTGCATAGAGGCATTGTCAGTCTATGTGACTATAGGGAATCGACAACCTCCTGGATAGACAATTGGATCAGAGACCAACTTATATTTATTGATATCCTTTACTCTTCCCATAAAACCTGGATCTCTATATGTCTACTCCAAGTTACTTGACTCCCAACTGAAAACTTTTGGGATTCTATCCTCCATTATGACATTGAAAACTGCTAAAACATGAGCCGTGGTCCTTAACAATTCTCAACCTCCTAAACAAATGCCATCTCTCGATGCAACCAGTGCATTTATATTGACAAGATGAAGACATGCTTGTACGAGTGTTTATAGGTGTAAGAAAAGCAATTCAGATGAAATCAGTTCAACAGCGGTTATAAAGTTTCTAAACCTTGGGATCCCATATCCATTGTCTATATATAGCGCAAACTGAGTGATTCTATTCAACAGGGAAGCATCAGGTCATTTTCCACAAATTCTCTATGTAACATGATAATCTCTAGAAAATAAGTATCAGAAAATTAAACGGACATATGGAAAGCTCGAGTATTAAAGAAATACTAGAAGTGCAATTAAATTAAAGACTATTGACTGAAAGAGGAAAGTGTAGGAAGTACATCTGCTATCTGAGATCTTGTCAAACAGACAGTGCTTACTTGAGAAACTTCATTTCAATTAGTACGCAGTAATCTTGGAACTGTGAACCACCTCATGAACTAACTCATGAGCAAACTATTTTATAAGACACAATACAAACCATTAGTTTGTGCATCAAATGGTGGCTAATTATGTGACTTCTAGATGACAACTTAAAACAAATGTCAATTGGAAATATAAAAATTAGAAGGCATTTGAAAGATGAAATGCACTGGGTAGAATTGGGTCATAGATGCCATCAACCTCTGGTAGCTATAGATAATAGGTACCAGCAATCAGCGGTAGCTGGAGGTCAACATGATATCAAATAAAAGTTCAAATAATGAGAACAACTATCTAAAACAAACAAGAAAATTAGAAAGTAATGAATAGCAAGATGTGTAGAAAATAAAACAAGAAACTGTACCATGGAGTAAGAATTCTCACCAAAATGCTTGTCCACAGACGCAAACCACTAAGTTGCATCCACCGTTCTTATCCACAGATTTCAAACACTTGGGGCAGGGCTTCGTGTTAGTAACAATCCACTTAATATTTTCTGATTCAGTGTTGCATTTCTTACTCCATAGATCCCATATCAAGCATGAACAAGGTGAATGCGCTTCCAACAAACAACTGAAACAAAACTGGTGCCCGCACGTACATTCAACCTCACAGAGCAAGTCATCCTTAACACAAATAGCATTTCCACAATGTGGAGTGCTGGGGCACCATTTGACCCTTTTATTATCATCAATATAAGATTCAAGAAGACAACGGTCAAATTTATCTGCAATATCAGGATTCCTTTTGCTCACAAGACTCCTGACAATGAATTCATCACATATAGCATTACAATTAGAGGCCATGCACTTAATCCTTCGACTTTGTCCTTCCTTTATCCTGACAATGAAATGCTCTGTCCAACCTGTAAAAGAACACAATACATCAGATGCTTGGTTCATGAACAGAGAGGATAAATATAAAATAAAAATTTCTTGAAAGATTTACAGGAGCATAACGATTATGGTTTTTTCATAAAAACCACCTTTAAAAAGGGTCATTCTACAGAAACCACCTTTGACTTTCAATTTATACATAAATCAACTTTAAGTACTTTTTGTTGCAATCACCCACCAGGACTCACTTTCAAGTCAAGAGTTTTGGGTTTTTCCTGTAATAATTAATCGTCAAATACCAAGCATATTAGAGAAATGATCCTTAAAGGAGGTTAGGTGGAATCAATTTCCAAAAAATTTAACTAAAAAATGGGCTCATGTGGTTTATTGTAACAGAAAATGTTTTAAAGGTGGTTCATGTATAAATTGAAAAATCAAAGATGGTTTTCATAGAATGGGCCTTTAAAGGTGATTTCTATTGAAAAAAAAAACCCTAACAATTATCATCTAATTGTAAAGGAAATAATATACAGTTAAATATACTTGTGCGTTACAGAGTTTTATATCCTTATACTTTGATATGCAGAAGTACAGGATCAATTCTTTCCAAGATGAATAAAATTTACTTGAAGAAAATAATATATATGTTGAATCATACCTACTAAATAAAACCACAGAGTTGGAATGATTAGAAAACAACAAGTATACAGAATAACATTCTTTTTGAAAGAAAACAATACACTATTTCCAAGTGAAATACCCCAAGACCAAGAGCTACAGACAGGGATGGAGCCACAGGGATCTCAGTTTGAGCAAGCTAAGATTGATATTACTTGTAATTAATACCCTATGAGATAGTTGCTATGCTACAATCTTTTGTATTAAGTTAAGACCTAAAATACCTCTGTAATCTATTTGAAACTATGTGGTTGATTTTAGCTCTATTTAAATAATATTATAATATCAAATCGAACGGGATGGATTGAAAAGATATTATCTTCAAAAACAACGCGAAGACTTAATTCCTCCCGAACAAATGGAAGCTCAAGTTCAAAAGAAATTCTTCCAAAAAATTAAACAAATACAAAAGATGTTTTCTGTTTGAACGGCAGGACATATCGATTTTTGTCTATCTGTTGCTTCTTTATCAATTATTTGAAGATGATGTCTGGTACAATTTAATATTGAAACTAAGATAAATACTTCCACATTGGGGATCGTATGTTTAACTTTGTGGCTTCTATTACACTTCTGGCTATATCCATGGTTTTAGTGAATTGATTTACTTTTTTAAATGAAAAATTGGAATCCTGGCTGTTTAGTAATATATTGAGAAAATTTTCAGTACTATTTTGTGCACTGCCTGGTTGAATGTTGGTTTCACACCTAACTACAGAGAGAATATCCAAATTTCACTAATTTCTTATAACATATGGTGCATATCAATCAAAAGGGCAAAACCCATCAGATGACTGTAGATTGATGAACCACATTATGGAACTAAATTGCCAATTTACATATCAACATTAAAAAATATCCAAGAATTCACAAGCAAAAAAGAAGAGGAAACTTACAATCATCACAAAAGTAATGGCCACAATCCATCACCGTGGCTGCATCACGAGAAACATCATCAAAACAAATACCACAAGTAATCTCCCCCGACGAAGAAGCCAAAATCGCCCCTTTGTTCTCAATCATAACACCTGCATCTAAAAACATCATATCCCTCCCCTTCTTCTCAAAAATCTCTAAAACCCTCTCCACATCCCACCTGTAATAAATCAACAATGTCCTTGCATGCTGCTCGCTCAAAGCAAACAAATCCATCACCTTCCCCAAATCCTCTTTCTGCACAAACCCTAAATCATTAACAACAAGAACCAGCAAAATTCCAAATTTTGATAAAGAAATTCAACTAACCTGCGCCAACAATAGGGTGTCTTCCGTGATGACCTGCAAATTTGAATCTTTCGTCAATTTCTATGACCTAAATCAAAACTTTCATCTAGAAAATAAAAAAAACTAGGGCCTTTTCAGTTTAAAACTTGCCTGAACTATTTCTATACCATCCAATTCTAAAATCATTCATACACCCAAACCAAAACATCCAATCTGATAGCACATTAACTCATATACATCAGTTTAAATCAAACTGTAGCAGTTTACCTTACTTCACAACATATGAATACAGAATTAGGGTTTCAGAATAAAAAAAGGGAATTAAGTTTAAAAAAACCCTAAAAATAAGGATTACCGAGGCAACAAAGCGGTCGATCAACTCCGACGGATCGCCATCGCTCTCGGCGTAACCATCATCACCATCATCATCGCCATCGTCAGCGATCAACTCGTCGTCGGGATCGAGATCGCTGGATGAAGAGCAAGGAAAGTAATACTCGTAATCGTCCGCCATTAAACTGAGATTTTTTCGCTGATTCCTCTTAATTTTCTTGTTGAAGGGGTTTAGAGGCTTTCGTGTCCAGTAGAAGTGCTCTCTGCCTTTTAAAGGGCGCCAACTGGTTCGTTTTATCGATAGTCTGCTGGAGAATGGGGCCCACGTGGGAGAAAATCTTGAGGAATTTGTACGGTCGAGATTAATTTTGGGTTGAATTGACGGCGGAGGTTTTGGGGAAGCGGAGCTTTCCTTGGATTAGAATTTGGTGTGCTATAATTCAAAGCAAACACCTACCTGGGCTACGTGCAGCTAAAAGAGCTCTCCACCTTCTTGATGATTTATTAGCGTTGTGCATCATTTCATGATGATAATTATTTGTAGGGATTTTTTTTTCTTGACATTTTTTTTTTCAATTTAGAAATAAACCCATGGTCGTTGGTAAGTAGAAGAACACTGTGAAGAAGCTCTATCGAAAAAAGAATTATAAAAAAAATTAAGGAACCCAATGAGAAAAATAAGAATATATTTCTGTTTTTATATGATCTTTTAAATATCCTAGCAAATTAATATGTCCGAACCCTTCCAATGCTTTCATGAGCGAAATTGTGCGATGAAGTGAATGGAAAAAAAGGCTCACAGTCAACACGCATTAATACCAAACGAAGGACTTGATCTTTACATTGATGCACCTTTTTCTGTTTTCAGGACAGATTTTTTCCTACACTTTGTGAGCAAACTAAAATAATCAAACCATAGAATATAATGCTCATAGTACCTATTGGGCAGTGCCACTCTTCTTGTACGTGAAGTAATTTCCACATGATCCGAGAGACTCTACAGATAATTTTATTGAAATTAATAATAATACCAAATCAGGTTGACTAATCAATATTGATGCACACAGTGCGTGCATGTCACGAAAATTGTTAGGGTATTTTTGTTGATTTCTGCAAGAAAAAGGGTATTGGGCTAATTTTTTCCCCTTCCAAATGTAAGCACGTTTTCTTTGTTTAGTCAGCGATTGTGGGGGCGTTTATTTGATATTTCAAAGAGCAGGAGTGCTTCACGATTTTCTTGAAAACGTAATGCATACGGGAAGAAATCAAAAGGAGAGTTTTCTTAAATGAGTGTTGCTATAGGGACCCCAAAATAGGGGACCATGTATGAGACTGGTGAGGTGTCGCCTCCCTGTCCCGTGATGAACTGTTTATGAACAGTGCATCACGGGACATGGAGGCGACACCTCACTTGTCTCACTCATATGTCCCACTCAAGATCCTCTATATTTTGGGTCTCTGACACATTTTTCTTCTTAAATATATGATAAGATAGTATAGATAAACTGATCTCATTGAATGTCACCTAACTCAGGTTCTCTCCCCCCATAAATTGTTGAAACAGAACTAGGGTGCAAAAAGGCCATTTCAAATAAAGTGCTTACATGGATATTTACGTATAGTTTCAGGGTTTGTCAAAACAGGTTTAAACTCTCAAAATTAAGGTGGAGGCAAATAATTTTTCAGAGGGAACTTTATGAGCGGAACTGTGCTGATTGATTGGATAGAAAGTGGTTTACAGCTTGATGGCATTATACCAAGTTTAGGACTTGGTTTCTACATATATTTGGTCTCATGCCAGCATTTTTTTTATTTTTCTACGCTTGCAGACCCAATTACAGTAATTCAACCACCCAATTCAATGCTCATCATCCCTATTGAAGCGGTCCAGTTTTCCTTCTAATTGATTCCACGTGATCCCAGAGACTAGTATATTTTTATAAACAAAAAAAACAAATATATAGACTGTATCACCATTAGCATGAAGCTGTCGCATTAACCTCACCAAACTAGTTAAGGATAATCTTTTTTTTTTCAGAAATTGTTGAGACAAGGTTGAGATGTAACTAAGACATTCCACATAAATGTGGATATTTACCTACTGCCTTGACTTTGGAGGGCCTATTGGGATAGAGAGAGCTAAACTCTCAAAAATAAAGCGGGGCCAAAATTTTCTAAGGCAAACTTCAGGAGATTACCAATCTATGAATCTGGAGGGAGAAGCAAACAGAAGAACAGCTATTATAGCTTCAAGCTATGGTTCCCTTCAGAATGCACTTCAAAGGAATTTACAATCTGCACACATATGAGCTTACACAGAAGGTAGATGGCACACTGAGAAAGCAAGGTTTACAAATTTTCATATTCAGAATTCCTGTTCAAAGTTTGTAGATTGTGCATCAGCAAACAGGGACAAAGGCTGGCAAAAGGCGTCCTGAGAAGTAATAATTGTGACATTTGGGGAGATTATGCATAGGCTTGAAGCATCTAAGAGGATTATGCATTAGAAACTAGCATACAACGATAACAATTACAAAATTCTATCTTCACAACTCCGAAGTGACCTTTGTCCGATGTGTAGTAAGAACAAGAAGCAGAACCAAACAGCTCATTGAGCTACAAATATCTGAAAACCCTGCAGAAAAATACGCAGAAACACAGGAGGGAGTGAGCTGTGAGGATCTGAAACTACTAAATTAAATAATAATGATAATGCTCAGAACAATTGTTGGATAGAACTGAGTAAAGGTTCCTCCAGTAACTAGTTTGCATCAGACAGTGGGCTCTTTTGCTACTAGTTTTTGAAGAAGGCTAAGAACTAAACAAGATAAATCAAACTTAACTCCCCTGCTACATGCTAAACTGTTGTCTCAACTTGAGATAAGAAACGGAAACAGAAACAAAACACCATCTGGATGTGCTCAAAATATACAAAAGTACAGTAGATGGCTGGCACAGATAAACCCCTCCTATTTTTAGTGGTGATACACTTGACACACACTACTCTATGGTTATATTGCCCTATAAACCAAAAAAAAAATTAACAATTGCAAAAATCCACTATTCCAAAAAGAGGACTATGCTTAACCAGATTAATGAACACAGGATTTGTTCGCTGCAAAATGAAATATTCATCATATCAATCAGAATTTTTGTAACTTTTATGAGACACAAAACGAAGAAGATGAATTCAAATACGAAGAAGCTAATCTCCACTTTGCACAATTTTAGAATCACATGTATTAGAACATAAAAATACAGAAGGCACGTAACAAATGTGAATGTTAAGTTAAAATCTCAGTTATACCTTAACGCTTTGAATATTGAGGAGCTTTGCGAGCCTTCTTAAGACCAACTTTCTTTCTTTCAACCACGCGAGAATCCCTAGTGAGAAGGCCTTCCTTCCTCAACGGGGCCCTGTGGTTCTCACTTACCTTGAGTAATGCTCTTGCAATGCCCAGGGAAATCGCCTGAGCCTGACCAGAAAGCCCACCTCCATGAGCTTTAACAAACACATCATAAGTGCTCTCATAGCCTAATGTCATCAGTGGATTCTTTATGTATTGCAGCCATAATGGATTTCCTTGCATATATTCCTGTACATGGAAAAGGCAAATCTTTTGTAAGTTCTGTTGTGAGGGAAAAGTGGAAGACCGTTATTTGTAAGGGAGTTTGTTCTCTCTTTGCTCTGAATTTGGGGACAGAATGGAAAGAGAGGTTTTCTGAAGTTGTGTTGTAAAGTTAAGAAAGGGCAAATCGTGAACCACATAACTAGGGACATTTTCTTAAAAAGTACTGTATATAGAGAGTAAGAATATATTGCGGAGTCTATAAGAATATACAAATTATTCATTATGTTGTATACGTTCTTAAAAAGTTCATGAAGATAAAAAATATATGATAACTAGTGTGTAGGAGGAAACATTTTGTTTTTTTTCTCTGCTAAAATACTTAACAAGTAACAACATTGATAAACAACTAGTAAGAACAAAATGTCTAGCATGTGGATTCTCAAATGCAGCGGAATTTTCTTCATGCGTCAAAATCTTATTCAGTTTTTATTTACATATGCAAACTACAAATAGGAAGATGTTGATGAAGACCAAGAATACACAATTTTCCATTTTCAAAGCAAGCAACACTAAGACCAGAGTAGGATACAATCACCATTATAGATGCATTTTCGACTTCTCTTCCTTCTTGATGGAACTTTATTCATATTATCTTCCGACCCTTGCACCAATGATCCCTCATTTTATCTTTACCAATGTCTCTACTTTGTGTTCATCCGCTCAAAGTTACAATTAACTCTTTGACAGAGAAATGAGTGACAAAGACCTCTTAGTCTAAGATACGAATAATCAAATTTGAATTGATGCAGATGTTCTAGTATAGATAAAATAGAAAATATAAAGTAAAAGAGGATGTAGTAGGTGGGGAAGAAATTTGAATGAAGAGAAATTGATAATGATCTCAATTTTAATATTCTTGCACCAAGAAATGAGCGATAAAGAACTCTAAACTTAAGCTAAAAAAAGTTCAAGTTTGAACTGATGCAGGTGTTCTAATATAGATAAAATAGAGTGTATAAAGTAAAAGAGATGTCGGAGGAGAATAAGAAGAAATTTGAATGCAGAGAAAAATGGGAAACATGAATAAGAGGGGAGAGATGGACCATTATAGTAATGTACGAATTCAAAGTGAACATGTCAGGAACCAATCTTAGTTATAAATTACCTACATTTTATGTGTTATGTGATATAGGGATTTCCAATGTGGATCGCAAGAGATTCATATAGTTATTCTTTCTAGCATATTTGATAGTTAGCTAGACAAGCACTTTCACTGGTTAAATCTAAGGAAATTGCTTTGTAAGTCAACAGTTTTGTGATATTGGATTAAAAAAAATTAAGCGAACGTAGCGGTTATTAAATTCATTCAGGAAAATTTACAGTTATTCTTTAAAAGGAAGTTTGACTCTTACATGTCAGGTGCATCCTCTAATTTTCCCAATTTAGCCAGGTAATCATTGAGTATATAATATGCAAGAAATTATCTTCCTAAATTATAATTTATTCACTGTTTTTCAGCAGGCCGACCATGTTTATGTTTTTGCTCGCCGATAAATAGTCTACAGGAGTTGCTCCTCAATTTAGGGTTCTTTCTCTGTCTCCTCTTTCTTCTTCATTTTTATTCTTTGTGACTTAGTGAGACTTCACCATGAAGAAACAAAATGTTTTATACAAGTCTCATGCAAAGCGCATTGAAAAGCTTAACTGCAAATGTGTAGATTTGATTAGTCGTATGGAAGCTGCGATGAGAAGGAAAGCCGAAGCGCAGGAGCGTATTGATCAGCTGAAGAAGAAAGGGCATTTTTGGATGAAAGATCCCAAAACTATGAGTTTGGAAGAGCTTGAAAAGTCTGAAGAACTGCTGCTCAAAGTGAAAGAGAGGTTGGAAAAATGGGGTAAAGGAGCTCTCAACTGAGATACCCTCCGAGGACGTTGCTGGTCCGTCTAAACGTCCTTAAACAGGGGAATAAAAAGTGTTCTTTGGTTTCTTTTATCAATATTAATAAATTGATCTAACTAAAGAATATTTTGCTCAATGAAAGCTTTATGAATCTTATCTTTCGTCATGTTAATTGTTTTTTTATTGTTTCTACATCTCCGCACTGTTTTATAGAATTTAGTGCTTAGCTAGTTGCATGTTGTGACTAGTTATTACTTATGTGAAAGAGATTACTCCAGCACATGTCAATATAAATGCATTGGAAATGCTTGCAATTAAATGCGATCCGAGCGAGCATTATACAGGTCTACATGAATCTTTGTGACAAGAAACTCAACTTTTTTGTGGGTGAACCTAAATCAAACAAAAAAAAACAACTACTTTTTTAATCGAATAAAGAGTAACCAGCTGCAGCTCCTCTATCCTGAAATTAGGAAGTTTACAATTCAACAAACAGAGACAAATTAATCCAAGGCGTAACCACTGTCACAAAAAATCAACCCTAATTTCCCCGGAAAAAAAAGGGGAGCAAAATCAAACCTTGGCATCGCGATAGTTGATGATGAACTTCCCACTCCCCTCCTGAATCACGACACGAGCAATGGCGCATTTCCTTCTCCCGGTCCCGATCAACGTCTGAGCAGCGAATCCCCCGGGTAACCTCGCCTTCACGAACTTCTCCAGGATCAGACCCTCGACTTCCGCCGCGGACCCCGTCCCTGACGATGGGGGTGGGATGTCTCTTTCGTGATTCTGGAGAGGTTTTGAGGAGTTGAAGAGAGACGGGGGTTTTGTTGGGGGAGACGTGAGAGGAGAAGGAGAGGGAGGAGAGGGAGGAGGTGAGCGAGGAGAGGGAGAGCGCCATTTTGTGAAGGGAAGTTTGTGTGTGTTTTCTCTTCGCTCTGGATTTTGGGGATAGAGAAGAGGGAGAGGTTTTGTGTTATCAATCGGCTCTAGAGGGGGGAACGGATAGGGAAACGCTGTGGGGGAGCAGAAAAGGGGCAAATTGAGAACAAAAAAGACCCCTTTCTTAAATAGCCCGCGCTCAACTACCTTATTATAGTTTCCCCAACTTTGCACTTACATACCCTCACTTGGTTGGCTAAATAGCACTTATCATACTCCCTTTAAAAGCGTGAGTTCGGGAAAATCTTTCGGTAGACAAAAATACCCTTCCATTAAGTAATAGGGAGTTGATAAATAGATGATTTATTATTGGATATACGTAGTATGAAGATAATGATATAGTTTAAATTAAAATGTAAACCTTAATGAAATTATTGAATATCAAATTTACAAATGTATACAAGATGAAAGGTGTATATGCAAAACAAAACAAATTACCGAGATAAATAATGTTTGCCGTAAAGGTCGAACTTAGAAATAGTACAGACCTACAAATGTATATAGTGTGAACGAGATATTTGCAAAATCCATCAAAGAAATTAAAGAGACAAAAGTCGTTCTCAAATTATAAAAAAGGAAAATTAAAACAAACAGCTACGATCTAAGGACACAATGTGTCGATCTCTCACCGACTAAAAATCAAGTAGTTCATAGTACTGCATAATTAGTTTTAAAGTTTAATTATACTATTATTATTTAAATAAAACTTTATTTACAATGTTATCTTCTCACATGCAACATCACATACCAATATATATAAGCCAAGAAATTACAATAATTTCCATAGTACTTTCATCTCCTTCTATAGGTGTGTGCCTTTGTTATTTTTTTTCTTATTAGATTAGATTAGATTGTTTAAATATTATGAATTATGAAATATGAACAATTTTTAGAGCATTTTTATCTATTTTCTTCTTATTAGATTAGATTAGATTATTTTATAGCAATTAACTATATTATATGTTTGATCTTTTTTTAAGATCAGAAATTACAATAATTTTTTTATTTTATAGCAATTAACTATATTATATGTTTGATCTTTTTTTAAGATCAGAAATTACAATAATTTTTCATAGCACTTTCATCTCCTTTAACAGGTATGTGCCTTTGTTATTTTCTTCTTATTAGATAATATTAGATTGTTTAAAAATTATGAATTATGAAATTGCAACAATTTTCACATCACTTTCATTTATTTTCTTCTTATTAGATTAGATTAGATTAGATTATTTTAAAGTAATTAATTATATTGTATATTTGATTTTTTTCCAGATCACAAAGTTTAATTATATTATTATTATTATTTAAATAGATATTATTTGTATAAAAGTCAAAGAGAATCCCACACGTATCTTAGATCTCAATGTCAATTGTAATACTTACATATGAGTGTTGGTTAAAATAAAATTTATGTATAGGCTTAACTTATATGATCCTACTTTAACCGGATTAGATAATTTAATTTTTTTTACACTCAAGCTCCTCCACAAAACCAAAAGAGAGTAGCAATGCTATAATTATATATATCCATAAGACCACAAATATCTCAAAAATGAATGAAGAAAACCACACAAACAAAAATCATATTAATTACCCATAAACACCACTGTTTTGAAAACCACCCTTCTCAATGCCATATATAATATATCCATATACCCAAATTAAGTTGCTGGAGTTTTTCCCTCACAAACTACACCATTGATCAACCCTTATTTTTTCCTTTATACTTAGATTGTATAACATTCATTGTGATGAGGACTAACATGGGTCCTCTGTCTGCTTTGAACGCCCACTAAAAAAATAATGTGCTAAGCCTTATAGTTAGTAATAATGAGACCCTGTCATTATAAACAAATTAAGTAAAGATTAATAATTCTTAAGAATGTATTACGTCCCCCAATCTTCCACTGCAAACTTGTTAGTGTTTATTCTGGCCCCAAGAGATTTTTAAAATTAATCTTGAGGGTTGCGTGTATTAAAAAAGTTATGTTAGAAGGTCCAAATAGTTTGTTTTATAATTTAAGATTGTCAACACATTTTGTCTCTGATGCATATCAATTATGAGTAATAATATAATTTGATTGATCCAAGTATATCCTAATATATTTCTAGACTCTTGTCTTGTCTTTAGCTCTTTATTATATACCAACATGATATCACAATTGATGTAGACGATGAAAGCACTACTGTAGAATTTCCCAAGAAAAAGCTAAAGATGGAGAATGATTTATCTCAACTCAATTAAATATGAATAAAGAATGAATAAAGAAAATATTTTTTTGAATATTTTATAGTAAAACTTAATTTTTGAGTAAAATTAGGAACCTTTAAAAGGGATTTTCATGTAAAAAATTTAATACACTTATGTGAATGCTTTTATTATATAAAATTATACTAGAGTCACCATTAATCTTTAGTATTTATTTTTTTATTTTAAGTTTATCAATAATTAAGATGTCTTCCAGTCTTGTTAAAAGTATGTGCTTTGTGCTGAGCTTATATAAGTCATCTTAATACTAAGTATTTGGTTATATTTTTATTAACACATCAATAATATATTATTATACTTTTTTAAACTTAACACTATATTTAATGACTAGGATGAACAAATTGGACATCGATGGTTTAATCCGATAAATAAATATGCTACATGAAGTTTGATATATACAAATTTTAAAAATAATGTTGTGTATGGAAGTATATAAAAGTATATTGATCCTAGTTTTACACACAAATCTATTTTATATTTTTTTAAATGTTTAAATAAAATTTATGGCAAAAGTAATAATCCATGCTTATAGATTTTAATTCAAAATAAATCTGACTTATTTTATAGTAAGAAAATAAATTTAAAAAAATTAATTTTGATATCTAACCACGTGCATTGTACGTGCACAAGAACTAGTTAAGTGAAAAGTAGATGAAACAATAGGATATATAAGAGCTATTTAGCCCATTTGTTTTTAGTAGCACGTGTATAGCATGAAGTTTCTAAAAGTTACATTTAAAATACTTTCTGTTATGCAAAGGCGAGAACTTCGCTCTGCATTTTCGCATGACACTCACAAAACTAAGTCTAGAATTTTGTAGCTCTTAATGTTTTGTTGAATTTACGGTTAAATATGCACCAACTCTGATTCTAACTAGAATTATTGTGAGTTTAGTAGTAAATTCGACAAACATTGAGGGCTATAAAGTCCTAAAATAAGCTTTGTGATGATCAAGAGAAAATTTGGAGACAAAGTTCTAATTTGCAAAATATAAGCAGTAAGGTACGAATTTTAAACTGCAGCATATATGAGTGCTACTGAAAACAACTGAGGGTAGATAATGCAAACAAATTAGCACTTAAACACCTTATAGTTTACTCCACTTTGCACTTGTATACTTTCACTCGTTTTTGGCAATACTTATATATATCTTGAAGTTTTTAAAATTTACACTTTAATATTTGTTGAATTTACTATTAAATATACATACTTACGGTTTTAATCTACTTTAGTTATATTTAGAAATAGAATTATTGTAACTTTAATAGCAAATTCAATAAACATTAAGGACATTTTTTTTGTAAAAACCGACCGTGAGCGTCACATAGGATATTTGGGGGGGGGGGGGGGTTGTCACGGTTTGCCAATAACAAACGCATTAAAATGAAAAGTTTAGAAAATCCATGGGGGGGGGGGGGGGGAGGGGGTGGGGAAATGGTCATGTTGCATAACAAAACGCATTAAAATGAAAAGTTTATGAAAATCGCAGTGGTTGCAAGTGCTAACTAAAACAAGTCATAAATATCTATAATTGGGAGGGCATGTTATGAAAAACTTTTCCTAAAGTATGAACAACAATTTTCAATGGTAAAAATATTCCCCTAAATAAATTTACTCACCCATGTAAAATTCGATTAACGATATTAGGGGGTTTTCTGCAAAACATTGAAAGTTAAACTGCGTTTCCTGAGAACTCTAAATGTTGTTTTCTTATGGGGGGCGTGGGGGTGGGGGTTGGGTTGGCAGGGGGTTGACATTTTGAAGGTTAAATTAAGAAGGTTTTATGAAATTTACCCCTTTCTATAATATTGTTTCTTACAAATACCTATAATTTGAGGGCATACATGAAATTTTTTTATTTGTGCATATGTCTTATATAGTTTTCCCTACTTTGTACTTATATATCCTCACTTGTTTTTGGCAACACTAATATACCCTTAAATTTTTAAATTTTACACATTGATATCCTAAGTTCTGCAAATGTGAGAATTTCCCCTCAAAAATTCTTACTGTTAAACATATTGTAATTCTATTTTACAAGTTTTTAATCCTAAACTTTTGTCGAGCTTACTGTTAAACATATTATAATTCAATTTTAAACTTATCTCAATTCTATTTAAAATAGAGTTTTGATGAGGATAGCAATAAATTTAAAAATAAGAGTTACCTTTTTTTTTAAATTAGCATGTGAGTGTCACAAGAGAGTTTTAGGGGGGAATTCTCAAAGTTTTCATAAATCAGGGTATTAAAGTGCAAATTTATTGAACTCTAGGGTATATAATTACTGCAAGAAACAAAAGAGGGTATATAAGTGCAAAGTAGGAGAAACTATGCGGTATTTAAGTGCAATTAAGCCTACGAAAAAACCAATGCGATTGCTTTTCTCGAGGAGTTCCGGTAAAAATTGGAGTTCATTCTTGATCTTCAAGCAGCCAGAGAATACAACCGTCCCCTTCACTTCAAATTTCTGTAGGGGTTTAAGAGGGGAAAGAAATCTAGGGTTTTAGAAATCGAAAGGATACGATTCATGGCACTCACCAACTTCATCCTAACGGTGGCTGCCGTCAGCGCTGCCGTCAGCGCCGCCGTCATCCTCCTTCGCGGCGACGTGAAGCAATCGGCGACCATCTTCCGACGTAACATGAAACAAATACGCAACTGGCTCGAAGAGGAGTCCAAATCCGCAGCCAAGTAATCCCCTTTCTATCCCAAATTTATTTATTTGATCATTCTTTTTTGAGGAAAATAACAGTTGATCTTAGATTGTTAGGATCTCTGATTCAAATTAAGAGGCCACTGTGGAAATTAGGGCACGGATTCATCTTCTCCACTCATTACACAGATTTTACAAAATTTCATACAAAATTTGCGCTTTTATTTACGAATGTTATTGTGGTATCAGTGTCCTGCTATTAAACTGATAATTTTTTATTGTTAATCATATGCTATTTAGATCACTCTTGTATTATCCCAGAGATAATAGGCTCTTGGCATTTGTTAAGAACTCAATTATTTACAAGGACGAGTAAGAGCGACAATCATATGAACATTAGTATCAGCAAAAGGCAGGATCAAGGATTTACTGAGAAAACATTTCTGAATTTTAAACCTGTTTAATTAATGGTTTTTATGGAACATACTTTTCTCAACTGCTCGTGCAATGGATTTTGCCAATAAACTATGCTGATTCCAGTAGGGAATTGAGCTTGAACAAAAGTCACATATTTGAACAAGTTCTAGAATGTCTAAGTGCTAGTTCAAGTGAGTTTTATTTCACAAACGAAAGTGAAATCAAGCAAGGGGAATAGGAAAAAAACTCAAACAATTCATCTAACAAAGAGCATAAGCGAGGGGGGAGATAAGACAAACCTTGAAGTTCACTGAGTATACGCCTTCAGTTTGAACCTTTGTTTGCAGCACCTTCTAAATCTTTCCAGAAGAAAACTTAGTATGGTTGAATTTTGTCCTGAACTTTATCATTAATCGGACTTTTAAAAACCTTCTCTCTTATGTCACAGTATGAAAATGATTACTGTGCTTTATTCTCAGTGAAAGGTCTTTCAAATGGTTGAACTGGATATAAACCAGAAGAAGCTATATTTTAGGTAGACAGGTCCGGCCCTGGGGTAAGCCCACCAAGCATCGGGGCTGGGGCAACCCAGGGCCAGGGGCAACCGGCCACAGAGGGAGGAGGAGGCAACCCAGGGGTTTATTTACAAATAAACATATTCTTCAAAGGAGCCACCTTTTCCGACTCAAATCAGAAACTAGGGTTTCATATTCTCCCCAAAAATGACTCCTTTCGTTCCTTTCAATCTCCACCGTACGATTCTGATCTCGGCGATCCTACGGCTGGCGCTCATCGTCTACGATGAGTGGCAGGACTCACGCATGGTGGTGAGGTACACCGACATTGATTACTCCGTCTTCTCAGATGCCGCTGACTTAGTATTGAAGGGGAACTCGCCGTTCGAGAGGTCAACATATAGATACTCTCCTCTGTTGGCTTTTTTGTTCGTTCCTAATTCATTGATCCATCGATCTTGGGGAAAATTCCTTTTCTCTTCTGCTGGTATGAATCTTTTTGATGTCGATGTATTTTTAGTAGTATATTTTAGTTAGCATTATGTGTTAGTTGATTTGATAGTTGCTTAAAAATGGAAGGAAAGTGATATGTTTCCTGATTTTAGTATGCAATACTGAAATCAGTACTGATATTGCTGGATCATAATGAGGTAGATGAATCAATGATATTATATGGGTTTTTTTTTTCATCTTCCGCTGGCTGCACGCCTGCACTCCTCTCTCCGATTGAAAAATGAATACTTGGAGAAATTTGAGTATGATGACTTAATTGAAGAATTCGCTTCAAAAAAGTTCAAGGAGAAGTATTTTTCTTTGAATAAATTGTATCCCAAATGTAATCTTTTCTTATATGAATATTGATTTTGCAAAAGAATATTATCAGTTTGAGCTCAATATAGAACGCTAAATAATATTATATGTATTTATTTTTATCGTTATTATTCGTACCAAATTTTTAATATAAGGGGCAATCAAAATTGGATTGGGTTAGGGCAACCCAAACCTCGGGGCCAACCCTGTAGGTAGAGAAGGAATATGTAGGAAACTAGGAATCATATATTTTTGGGTATTCTTAACTGAAAGATATATCATTTGAAATTAAAAAACTTTATTGGTATATCTAATTAGGTAATTAATCAAATCACATCTCTCTCATGTTTACCAAGTTTGGCCGACATAGAAAGATATATAGGAAAAGATTAATTCAAAATTTACTTTGATGTATCTAGATCTTAAAAGAAGGCGATATATATGGAAGAAGAAGGTAAATGTTTCATTTTGTTCCATTACAAGGAGGGGTTATTCAGATAATAAGCTACCGAAGAACAAATAATGAGTTTCACATGTTATTTCTTGAAAAATAATAATCAGATTAGATATATGCTAGCTACATTTCATGTATAAGTTATTATATAGGATCTACCAGCTGCTAAGCTGCAGCAGTGTTGTGTGTAGCTTATCCTGGATTTTTCACCACCTTGGGCCACATCCAGGGATGGATCCAGGAATTTTTTCCCTCTGGGGACACATAACTATACGTATAAATTAATAATTTATATAATATAAATTCTACTAGTACAAAAACTTATTCATACAATAACCACAAAGATATCAACAGATAATATTTGTCATCCTCATTTTCATATCAATACATGATAAATTTTCATTTTCATCGTAAAAGCTAACCAAAAACTATTAAATTCTGAAGATAGTTCTTCATTATTGTTCTCTAAGTGGTCTCATTTTTTATGAGGTGGGGCACCTTGTAAACTTTTATGGGGGCACCTGTATAAAAATGTACATCCTTTATAAAAATTTAAGAATTGAGTGGGGGCACGTGCATAGAAGTCGGGAACGTGGAACACTATAGCGAACCACGACCTGGGTTCGTCGTCTCAGATCCACGTGGAACACGACCCGATTCACCAACACAGCGACCCGATTTAGAATTCAAGCGAAGAATTTTTTTTGGAAAAAAGTTAACTCTTTCTTAAAAGAATAAACAACAACAAACTTGAGAAATTAAGCAAATAAAGTATGCATATTTTAATTGCAACATGATTTTTAAGGTTCTTGTACCGTTACTGATATCAACTAACATATCTCTTAAATTTGACACTTGCAAAAATCTCTAATTCCTACATTTAAGAACCGAACCTAAAGCATACCATGTTCCATGGCGTGTTGTATAAGCCTAACTCTCTCATACCTGATTCCTAATGAGTGGCGTACCATGTTCCCATACCTGTCCCGAGAATCGGAATGAACCGGGGTTCATGAAAAACTAGGCACGTGCCCCCACTTCTTTTTTAGTGGATCCGTCCATGGCCACATGAGTACTTTGAAACTTTATGCTAGCCATACTTCCCAGCAAAATCACTTGCAGCATCTCCTGTACCATGTATTTATCATGTAATTTCAGTCGCTATCATGTCATGAACGCTTCCTAATACTATACTACAGATCCTGTGTGTAATGCGGTGTCACAGTTTTTATGCAACCATTGAAGTGCATGTTAATTACTCTCACAGCCATGAGATCGTTTGGATACATCAGATTTGATTTGTCACTATTTAAATCAATGCCTGATCTTTTAGACAGTTTCATCTGCTCAATGCCGTGTTACTCTTATTTTTTAAAATATTCAAAACATACCATATAGGAAAGCTTTATGATCAGTAGCTGACTGATATCTTCAACATCATTATTGATTAGGAATAATGACTAAATTTCCAATGCAAATGAAACAAAAGCAAGTTCCCGCTGACGATAAGTCTCTAATATCCTTTTAGAACTTCAAAATGGCATCAGTATGATTTGCTTTTCTAATGACTTGTTGGTTTGATGTTATTGCTAGGGGTTCTGCGACATTTGCCAATTATTTCTTCTGAATTGTTCATCCGTTGAAATTTGTTCAGCTTTTGTTGTTGTTCTGTGAGGCACATCACATGCCTACTTGTTAGGGCCAGCTATATGTTTATTGATGGATTCATTGATCATATCCTATGCTGGACATAGTACTATTGTAAAGGAAGAAAGAGCAGGGAAGAGGCCATAACTATAAGTTTACATTTAAAGGCCGTGGATGGGTCTTTCTTATTCCTTTTCATCTGACATCATCAAATTTTTAAGTCATATCGTCCTTGTCATCATTTCCGTTATCATCTTATGAATTTTTTTGCCATAATGGGTCTATTGTAAATGAGAAATTTTGTAGCATCAGAAAAGAAAAGATGTAGATAAATACTAGGAAACTAATTAAAAAAGAAAATGGAAGAAGACGGCTGAGAATTTTTTTTTTGGTGGGGTAAAGGGGTGTGGTTGTCATCAAGCATATAGAAGTATCCAAAACGCTGCCCTAGAAGGTCATCCTCGAAGTTTGTGACCTCCTAGTCTATGTATGTATCTTCCCCCACTGTAGATGTCTAGGCATACTGAGATATGGGAGAGATGTGTTAACTTTTTTCGGGAATAACAGCTGGAATAAGAAGAGGATCACTCTCCCTTTAAGCTCTTGGGTTTGTACCTGACTAATTTGGTCCAATCATGACACATCAACAGAAATCAATGTCCTTGATCCAATTAATCTTAGTCTATCCACCTGGTCATCTAGGCTCACTTTTTAGGTGGTAAGTTCTGATTACAGGTCATTTATTGCTGGCCATGCTAAAGTGCTTCCTGTCTATCTAGATGGTGTCCTAGTCATGTTTCTAGTCAAACCTCAGAAATAAGTGCCAAATTCCTAGCATAAAAAAGTTATGACTGAAATGCTCCTTGCAATAACCCCTTGTTAATGGGAGATTGGTATAGATGTATCCTATTTGTTTTGTAGTTTAACTTATTGCAACCAAGGAGCCGGCCCACTTTCACTTTGATGGTTCCAACAGGAGAGTGGTATGATGATTTGATAGTCTCACAAGCTTGTCTCTTGTTTACTTCTCTAATTGATGAATTTTAGAGAAAATTTCAGCTCTGCACTTAATTATTATTATTATTTTCACTTCTGATCATATATCTTTTTTACTTAGCTAAAGAAATTCTTTAATTGAATGTCTCATGAACATAATATGAAACGTTCCTCAATTTTAGACCCGTCTTTAGTTTCTCTTTAGTTTCTCAACTTGCTTGAATTTATTTGCCATCAAATAGTTTACTAGTAACCTTCCACCTATTAAAAATGAGTAGTCAAGTTCCCCAAATGTAATCGTGCATTAGTCAGATGTTTGTTTGTATTTACACATCTACACATAAGCAGGTCGTGCGTTTGGGTCTTTAACTCTCAAATCTTAATCATATTTTCCAAGTTTATTTAAAACAAATATATCATGAATTATATCGATTCTAAAGGAATCTATCTGAAGTTGAGAAAACATTGTTTTGGACATAAAATTACTGAAGTGATTAAGCAACTATAATCAAAGCATAACTATTATAGAAAATCACCGGAAAAGTTTAATAATTGAAATATAGCCATAAACTAACTTTGACCGTAATAGAGGGAGAGAGTTTCTTCCATATGTGGTAGGTTAGCATATCGTCATGGCATCTGGTGCGTCATGCCAATTACATGGCCCAGTGAACAGTGTAGTGAGTATTTAGAACACTTAATTGAAAGTAGAGATTGTTATTTTGAATTTTACGCGCAGAGACGGGCTTGTAACTGTTCAAAACCATTAGACTGAACTAGTGAATTCAAGCCTTGTTCTCATAATTTATGTGATGGTTTCATGCTCTCATGGGATGACACTTCAACTCCAATACTTGACTTTCTTTCCCCAAGCCACCATGAGGTTAGGTTTACTGGCTGGATATCATAGTTGACCTGGATAATCATGTTGAATCCTTTCTTTTTCCTTTATATTCCTGATGATAACTTAGTGCTTCAAATAAAGCACCTATCGAAGAATCTGATGTCAGAAACTATGAATCTTCTGATATGTGCTTTTCTTTGAAGATCCATAGTCGTATCATCTAGATTCTAATACCTTTCACCTAATTTCAGTCAAAGATTGGTCATCCATTTCCCTCTTTTCCTTTCTCTAAACCTGTACTCTTTCGTCCATATTGCACGGACCACTGTCTCCTCCTGTTCCATTGTTGCACATTCATCATCACCTCCTTTTTTCCAATTAAGGGTACGTGTTTCATATGCTTCCACTTACTCTCCTGCCAAAACTCCGTTTTGCATTGAAATTTAGTGCAGGATCAATGTGTTCCACATTTCTGTGGGTCTAAGAGTAAATTTTCTATGATCTTTAAAGATCGAAAAGAAGAAAAGAATCTTGATTTCACTAAACCACGACTAAACAAATTGGAAAGATTTGGTATCCTGACCTTTGTTACAGAACCTCAAGCAGAGGCTCTATATATCTCTAAACAAATTGGAAAGATTTGGTATCCTGACCTTTGTTACAGAACCTCAAGCAGAGGCTCTATATATCAAACCTTTCCAGTTTGTTTTTATTTGGGTTGACCTTTGTTACAGAACCTCAAGCAGAGGCTCTATATATCAAACCTTTCCAGTTTGTTTTTATTTGGGTGGTTCTGTAGTTTGCAAGCGGGGCCATTCAAAGGTCTTTAATGAATCCGCTGATGGTCTAGGGATTCAGTTAAGTAGGATATTGGCTGGTAATCGCATGGGCTGCATTATTGTTTAAGGTGACACATCCTGGACATGTCAGTGACTGACATAATGTACAGTTCATTGCTTTTTCAAAGAATATGTAGTTCCTGCAAAGGATTTGCAATTAATTTGCTTGGTGTAGTTGTTTTCTGTTTCATACATCTAATTCACTGTTATATGAGCTGATACTGTCTATAGTTTGGAAGAAAATGCACTGGCTATTGTGATTCTTCCAATATATCTGTCAGCAATTCAAAATCCATATGAATATGCTGATTGTTTTGGCATTAAAACATGCTCTAGAAGTAGACTGTGTCAGATATCTGGATATTAAATGTGAAAGTCTAGTTACTTTCCTCTGTGTAATAATAATCTGAAGCATCTCATCATCTTGCTTTGTATGCATGCTAAGTCATGCTTTATGGTATTTTTGCTCCCTTCTCAATTTGCTCATTTAGTTGCACATTATGGTTTGATAATTTTGGAGCTTAGCATTTGTATTCATGATTCTGACATTGGATTCTTTTGTTAAGGTCTGTGAAGGAAGCACCAAAAGAGCTGGATTCAAAGGCGACAAGCAAAGACATCCCTAAGGATGAGAAGCACTAGATAATGTATGTTTTTCTTTAGCTTTTCTACTTATTTGTGGATATTCATGAAATATTTTTTTATGGTTTGTTAAAAAGAGTGGCAGATTTAGTCTTTGTATTACGGGGATCAGGGTAATCAGTTTTATCGAGCCAATCAGCCAAATATCAGAAAGGTTGGAGTAAATAATGCTCAGTAGCTAATAGTTTAAGTTTTTTTTTTTAGGCTTTTAGATGTTGCTATTTTCGACCTTTGCAGAATGCCTGTATGCAAATTCAAAATTCCTATTTCCAGCTGAAATCCTAGTTTCTATGTTTTTGTTGCTTGAGAGATTGGGAATAATACAAATAAGATTGCGAGTTTGATTTTGCACGTGACTTGTCTAATATCTGCTTGTTGAATCTTAGCCATGTTATGTCTGTGGTATTCTTTATGAGGATATTAAAAGGGGTCTAAAGTAGTATTGCTCGAAAAGTTGTTTAGTCTTTTGATATAAATGATTGCTCGAAAAGTTATTTAAATCAACGCCTGATCTTCTAGACAGTTTCATCTGCTCAATGCCGTGTTACTCGTATTTAAAAAAAAAATTCAATACTACCATATATGAGAGCTTTATGATCAGCAGCTGACTGGTATTTGCAACATCATCATTCATTAGGAATAATGATGCAAATGAAACAAAAGCAACTTCCCGCTGACGATAAGTCTCTAATATCCTTTTAGAACTTCAGAATGGCATCAGTATTATTTGCTTTTCTAATGACTTGTCGTTTGATGTTATTGTTAGGGGTTCTTCAATATTTGCCAACTATTTCTTCTGAATTGTTCATTCGGTGAATTTGTTCAGCTTTTGTTGTTGTTCTGTGAGGCACATCACATGCCTACTTGTTAGGGCTAGCTTTATGTTTCTTGATGGATTCATTGATCATATCCTATGCTGGACATAGTGCTATTGTAAAGGAAGAAAGAGCAGGGAAGAGGCTATAAACTATATGTTTACATTTAAAGGCCGTGGATGAGTCTTTCTTATTCCTTTTTATCTGCCATCATCAAATTTTTAAGTCATATTATCCTTGTCATTATTTTCGTTATCTTCTTATGAATTTCTTTGCCATAATGGGTCTATGAAATGCGAAATTTTGTAGAATCAGAAAAGAAAAGATGTAGATAAATACTAGGAAATTAACTAAAAAAGAAAAGGGTGTGGTTGTCATCAAGCATATAAAAGTATCCGAAACGCTGCCCTAGAAGGTCATCCTCGAAGTTGTTGGCCTCCAAGTCTATGTATGCGTCTTCCTCCGATGTAGATGTCTATGCATACTGAGATATGGGAGAGGTGTGTGAACCTTTTTCAGGAATAACAGCCAGAATAATAAGAGGATCCCTCTCCCTTTAAGCTATTGGGTTTGTACCTGACTAATTTGGTCCAATCATGACACATCAAAGAGAAATCAATGTCCTTGATCCAATTAATCTAATCTATCCACCTAGGCATCTAGACTCACTTTTTAGGTGGTAAGTTCTGATTACAGGTCATTGATTGCTGGCCATGCTAAAGTGCTTCCTGTCTATCTAGATGGTCTCCTAGTCATGTTTCTAGTCAAATTTCAGAAATAAGTGCCAAATTCCTAGCATAGAAAAGTTACTACTGAAATGCTCCTTGCAATAACCCCTTTTTAATGAGATGATTGGTATAGATGTATCCTATTTGTTTTGTCGTTTAACCTATTGCTACCAATGATCCGGCCCACTTTCACTTTGATGCTTCCTACAGGCTACAGGAGAGTGGTATGATGATTTGATGGTCTCCACCTGGTCTCCTTGTTTACTTCTCTAAAATTGATGAACTTAAGAGAAAAATTCAGTTCTGCACTTACAATTTGGAGCCTTGATTATTATTATTTTGCACTTCTGATTATATATCTTTTTTGCTTAGCTAAAAATATTCTGTAATTAAATGTCTCATGAACATAATATGAAACAGTCCTCAATTTTGGCCCCGTCTTTATTTCTCAACTTGCTTGAATTTATTTGTCGTCAAATAGTTACTAGTAACCTTCCACCTATTAAAAATGGGTAGTCAAGTTCCCCAGATGTAATTGGGCATTAGTTGGAAGTTTGTTTGTATTTACACGTCTACATGTAATCAGGCTGTGCGTTTGGGTCTTTAACTTTCAAATCTTAATCATATTTCCAATTTTATTTAAAACAAATATATCATGAATTTTATATCGATTCTTAAAGGAATCTATCCAAAGTTGAGAAAACATTGTTTTGGACATAAAATTACTGAAGTGATTAAGCAACTATAATCAAAGCATAACTATACTGAAAATCACCAGAAAAGTTTAATAATTGAAACACAGCCATGAACTAACTTTGACCCTAATAGAGGGAGAGGGTTTCTTCCATATGTGGTAGGTTAGCATATCGTCATGGCGTCTGGTGCATCATGCCAATTACATGGCCCAGTCAACAGTGTAGTGAGTATTTAGAACACTTAATTGAAAGTAGAGATTGTTATTTTGAATTTTACGCACAGAGACGGGCTTGAAACTGTTCAAAACCATTAGACTAAACTAGTGAATTCAAGCCTTGTTCTCATAATTTATGTGATGGTTTCATGCTCTCATGGGATGACACGTTAACTCCAATACTTGACTTTCTTTCCCCAAGCCACCATGAGATTAGGTTTACTAGCTGGATCTCATAGTTGGCCTGGATAATCATGTTGAATCCTTCCTTTTTCCTTTATATTCCTGATGATAACTTAGTGCTTCAAATAAAGCACCTATCGAAGAATCTGATGTCAGAAACTATGAATCTTCTGATATGTGCTTTTCTTTGAAGATCCATAGTGGTATCATCTAGATTCTAATACCTTTCACCTAATTGCAGTCAAAGATTGGTCATCCATTTCCCTCTCTTCCTTTCTCCAAACCTGTACACTTTCGTCCATATTGCACGGACCACTGTCTCCTCCTGTTCCATTGTTGCACATTCATCATCACCTCCTTTTTTCCAATTAAGGGTACGTGTTTCATATGCTTCCACTTACTCTCCTGCCAAAATTCCGTTTTGCATTGAAATTTAGTGCAGGATCAATGTGTTCCACATTTCTGTGGGTCTAAGTGTAAATTTTCTATGATCTTTAAAGATCGAAAAGAAGAAAAGAATCTTGATTTCACTAAACCACGTCTAAACAAATTGGAAAGATTTGGTATCCTGACCTTTGTTACAGAACCTCAAGCAGAGGCTCTATATATCTCTAAACAAATTGGAAAGATTTGGTATCCTGACCTTTGTTACAGAACCTCAAGCAGAGGCTCTATATATCAAACCTTTCCAGTTTGTTTTTATTTGGGTTGACCTTTGTTACAGAACCTCAAGCAGAGGCTCTATATATCAAACCTTTCCAGTTTGTTTTTATTTGGGTTGTTCTGTAGTTTGCAAGCGGGGGCCATTCAAAGGTCTTTATTCTTTAATGAATCCGCTGATGGTTTAGGGATTCAATTAAGTAGATATTGGCCGGTAATCGCATGGGCTGCATTATTCTTTAACGTGGCACATCCTAGACATGTCAGTGGCTGACATCCTGTACAGTTCATTGGTTTTTTAAAGTATATGTAGTTCCTGCAAAGGATTTACATTTGATTTGCTTGGTGTAGTTGTTTTCTGTTTCATACATCTAATTCACTGTTATACGAGCTGATACTGTCTACAGTTTGGAATAAAATGCACTGGCTATTGTGATTCTTCCAATATATCTGTCAGCAATTCAAAATCCATGTGAGTATGCTGATTGTTTTGGCTTTAAAACATGCTCTAGAAGTGGACTGAGTCAGATATGTCAATATTAAATGTGAAAGCCTAGTTTCTTTCCTCTGTGCAATGATAATCTGAAGCATCTCATCATCTTGTTTCTGTTATGCTACGTCATGCTATCCCCCCCCCCCCCCCCTCCTCAATTTGCTCAATTTATTCAGTTGCATATTATGGTTTATAATAGTCTTTTTTTTTTGATAATTCTGGAGCTTGCGTCTGTATTCATGATTCTGACCTTGGATTCTTTTGTTAAGGTCTGTGAAGGAAGCACCAAAAGAGCTGGATTCAAAGGCCCCAAACAAAGACATCCGTTAAGGATGAAAAGCACTAGATAACGTATGTGTTTCTTTAGCTTTTCTACTTATTTGCGGATATTCATGAAATAATTTCTTATGGTTTGTTAAAGAGAGGCAGATTTAGTCTTTGTATCATGGGGATCAGGGTTATCAGTTTTATCGAGCCAATCCGCCAAATATCAGAAAGGTTGGGAGTAAATAATGCTTAGTAGCTAATAGTTTAAGTTTTTTTTTTTGAGGCTTTTAGATGTTGCTATTTTCTACCATTGCAGAATGCCTGTATGCATATTCAAAATTCCTATTTCCAGCTGAAACCCTGGTTCCTATGTTTTAGTTGCTTGAGAGATTGGGAATAATGCAAATAAGACTACGAGTTTGATTTTACATGTGACTCGTCTAATATCTGCTTGTTGAATCTTAGCCATGTTCTCTCGTTGGTATTCTTAATGAGGATATAAGGAAAAATTCCTTAAGGACCCAAAATATGGGACCAATAGGGGGGGACAAGTGAGGTGTCCCCCTCCTATTGGATAATGAGTTGGCCATCATTAATGATGGTCAACTCATTATCCAATAGGAGGGGGACACCTCACTTGTCCCCCCTATTGGTCCTATATTTTGGGTGCCTATAGCAAAGCTTTATTAAAAGGGATCCAAAGTAGGCTTGCTCGAAAAGTAGTTTAGTCTTGATATAAATGATTACTCGAGAAGCAAACTTTTAAAAGAATTCAATGCACGTTGTTGAGGCAGCAAGAAAGCACACGGAATTGGATTCCATAGGGAAACTAGAGGATGATGACAGATTTGCCTTGTAAATAGTATCCGTACTAAGATTCTCGAAATCCATCAGCAAGATCTCGTATATAAGGGGGTGTTTGTTTCAAATCCCAAAAATTTATGGATATGGATTTCACATGGGATTTGAAATCCATAAATTTTTTGGTGGGTTTTGGGATCTCTAAAATGTTGTTTGTTTTAACAAAATTTTGGGATTTGAAATACCAAAACTTAGAATGTTGTGTTTGTTTCAAACTTAAATTATAGCATTACAAATTTTAGAATTTGAAATCCCAAATGGTAGCAAACAAAATTTAGGATCACCAAAATATTAATTGGTGAATTTAAGAATTTTTGGTGAGCTTACCCCCAATAAAAAAAAACAACTCTTGTATTTACTCTTCAAGCAAGCCCACAACGGCAACAAAATCACCAGCAACAAATGCGTGCAACCCAGGCAACAAAACCCAGCAACCCAGACCACTAGCGCCAAAAACCCAGCAACCCAGCAACAAAACCCAGCAACCCAGACCACCAGCGCCAAATCAAAAGACCTCCAGCAACAAAAAACCCAGCAACCCAGCAACAAAACCCAGCAACCCAGCAACCCAGACCACCAGCGCCAAAAACAGAGAGCAACAGCAACAAAATCAGCAGCAACCCAGCAACAAAACCCAGCAACCCAGCAACAAAACCCAGCAACCCAGCAACCCAGACCACCAGCGCCAAAAACACAGAGCAATGGCAACAAAAGCAACAAACCCAGAAAACTGGAACTGAAACATAAGCTGACCCAAATCAAAAGCAACAAACCCAGCAACCCAGAGCACCAGCGGCAAAAAAACAGACCTCCAGCAACAAAATCACCAGCTACCAAGTTTAAAGCACAAGCCATCAAGAACAAGTCAACAAGCAAACTGTATATGAGAGTCAAAAAATTTGTTTCAGGCACCTTTAACAAAAAAAAGCAAACAAAACCTGTATATGAATCTGAAAATGAAACTGAATATATAAACATAAGCCCTCCAGCAACCCAGCAACACAGCAACCCAGCAAAAACCCAGCAACCCAGCAAAAACCCAGCAACCCAGGTCAAATCAAAACCCAGCAACCCAGCAAAACCCAGCAACAAAACCCAGCAACCCAGGCCAAATCAAAAGCTTATGACTCTCATATACAGCAACAAAACCCAGCAACCCAGACCAGCAGCATGAAATCCCATAATAGGACCAAGTTAGGGGCTCAGGTATAGGTATTAAAATTGAATACACGGATTGCCTCATCTAACAATGGTGTTGCAATGTAGGTTGCAATCAAATGAATGGATTGCCTCACCGACGTTGTGGATGCAATGTAGGTTGCAATCACATGAATGGATTGCCTTACCTAACATTGTAAATGCGATGTCGGTTGCATTCTCATCCTAGATTGCCCTACCTAAACATAACAAAACATTGTAGATTGCATTCTCTTAACTAAGACCATCATCATTGCCCACTTAGAAGAATACAAAGTAGATGGATTGCCTTACCTAACATTGTAAATGCGATGTCGGTCAGCTTTATCATCCTAGATTGCCCTACCTAAACATAACAAAACATTGTAGATTGCATTCTCTTAACTAAGACCATCATCATTGCCCACTTAGAAGAATACAAAGTAGCCATTGAAAACAACCATTGAACCAAATACTCTTGTATTTACTCTTCAAGCAAGCCCACAACAATAGATGAAAACTGGAACTGAAACATAAGCTGACCCAAATCAAAAGCAACAAACCCAGCAACCCAGAGCACCAGCGGCAAAAAAACAGACCTCCAGCAACAAAATCACCAGCTACCAAGTTTAAAGCACAAGCAATAACTATATCAACTTGAGTTGAAAAGGGGTAATGTGGCTTCGCAGATAGGATTTTAAAACGATTTTTCAATACCCCAAAAGTTGATTCAATTTTAGACCTTAGAGATGAGTGTCTTAAATTGAACAACTCTTGTCTATTATGGATTGGCCTACCCTTGTGCTCGTTTAAATGATAACGCACTCCTCGATAAGGGGAGATAAAGCCGGGCATAGTAGTGTAGCCCGCATCACACAAATAATATTTTCCTACAATTACCAAAAATATATTTAGTACACTTCTTAATTTAAATTAAATGCACAGAATGTATGTGTTTGATTTATCACCATTGTAAACTCTCAATCCGCGAGGTTGTGGTCTAGATAGTGCATCTTGCAAAACTCTATAATCATTTGCGGATCCCTCCCATCCAGCTAGAACATACGAAAATAACTTGTTGGGAGTGCATGCAGCTAGAACATTTTGAGTTACACCTTTACGTCCTCTAAATCGTGCAACAAGGTTAGCGGGAAGCATGGCGTCGATATGGGTTCCATCAATCATGCCAATGCAATCCTATATGTAACAATTTATGTAATTAAATAAAAAGCTAAAATACGTGGTGTGGTTATAATCAGTTGTTATCTTAGAATTACTTGGAAATCAAGGATGAGTTACAACGGAGTTGGGAGGCATTTTCTGACATAATTTGCATTTGGTGCTTGGCCTTCATGTATCGCCCTCTTAAATGGTGCCCACAGCTTCCAAACACTTGTTAAAGTATTTGTGAAAAACGGTTTCCCCCGATCTTTATGAATGTGACCTGACAATTCTATTTTTTGTTTTATGGCCCAATATATTAAGGAACCATGAGCAAATTGCTCTTCTACTTTGACATCACGGTGATCTTGGTAGTAGGCCGTATATTCTCATTATGCATTAAAAGCTTTTCAATGCGTGTGGGCTATTTCTAACATAAGACCTACAACTCTCGTGAAGCCATTGAACACACGACTTATGTGCCTAGCTCTAGAACTATCTTCTACTTTTTGGCCTTGTTAGGGGTGATAACTGATTGATTTCTTCGACTACTTTCTCCTCATTTTAAACAAGCAACACACAATATGACCGCAGAGATAGTGCATTTAAGAAGCCATCCTCACTAGCATGTTCTGTTCAATCAATATTCCATCTACATGGGAAGTTCAAATGACATGTTCAACATGGCGTTTTTGTAACCTAAATTAAACACGCTGAAAAAGTAGTTCGTAATGCAAAATATCTAAAACGTGAGCCATAAGTAACTTTGATGTAAGATCAATAAATTCGAAATGAAGTGATTTTGTCTTTATACTTAAATAATTTAGGATTGCATTTTTTATGTTACAAATTCAATGTCAAAATCAGTGTGCCAATAAGCAAATTTATACCAATACGCATGACCTGAGTCTATTAATACAACATGACATCTTTAAATTCACACATGAGTTTCCTTAATATGTATATACATCATTTACAATGGTTTCAAAATCTACTATCAAATTTTTTTAAATAATGCTATGTAAATTGTGTGACTCCAAAAGTTCAAACAACTCAAAGGCTGTATAATCACTCTAAACCAACTGAACTTCCAAAATCAAAAGCAACAAACCAGCATTCCCAGACCCACGAGCAACAAAATCACAGCCTTTCATGCAACAAAATCACAAGCACCAAGTTTAAAGCACGAAGCCATCATTAACAAGTAAACAAGCCAAACCCAACAATTCCAGCAACATAGTTCAGACCTCATGGCTGAAATTGTCGGCCACCCAACTGAACCAGATTAATTTCACAAAAACCCCCAAATCGATCGTTTTCGAAACCTGAATTTTGAGGGGCAAGGAGGAGATAACCTGCGGCGCGTGGTCTGAGAGAGGATCAGTTGGAACCTAGGATCAGCAAGTGAGGTAACCTTTAGAAAACCCCAAATCAATTTTCAGCAAGTGACGTTAGGCTCAGCAAGTGAGATTAGCCAAAACAGCAGCAAGCAATAACTGAGGACCAGCGTGGAGTCCGGTTGAGAATGACGACGAATAGGCAGCGTCGTGGAAGGCGGAAAGAGGAACGAGGCCTAGGGTTTTCGGCTGGAAGAGAGGGACGAGGGCCTAAGGTTTTCGCGCGGGGAATGAAACGGCGGGGTGATGCGTATGCGGTTGTTTTCAGGTGTGACGTGAAAAATTGCGGAGTGGCGCGTGCTGAGGTTGGACTGGGTTTGTCAGAATCAAGCCAAATTTCGCAACTCAAAGCTTGGATTTGGGAAATTGCTAAAAGTTGTCAGCTTATGTTCCTCTGTTTAGAATTCATATGCCCATAATATTTTGAACAAAACACTGTTTTTGGAATCCCATGAACCCCAAAAACCCATTTTGGATCCTAGAAGTTGTAATCCAAAAAAAAGCTTGAAACAAACACCGGACAAATTTTCTAAACCAACCTATTTGGACTTTTATTCCCAAAAAACGACCCCATTCAAAAATAATTGCAAAAACCGACCTGGTTTCAGCCTCAGTGCTGAAACCAGGTCCGGTTTTTGAAAAAAACTCTCCGAAACTTCACGGGAGTTGAACTCCCGTGAAGTTTTTTGTACTATGAAACTTCACGGGAGTTCAACTCCCGTGAAGTTTCGGAGAGTTTTTTTCAAAAACCGACCTGGTTTCAGCGCTGAGGCTGAAACCAGGTCGGTTTTTGCAATTATTTTTGAATGGGGTCGTTTTTGGGGAATAAAACT